ACTGTGTCAATCCATCTCATCTTGGGTCTTCCTCTCTTGCTCTGTCTCTTTACCCTTCCAAGCATGAAGTCCTTTTCCAAGAATTGGTCCCTCTTGGCAACATGCCTAACGTATGTGAGACAGAGTTTAAAATTCTTTTGTCTCCGAGGAGCAACTTGGCTTCACCCTCTCCAGGACAGAGTTGTTGGTTTTTTTGGCAGTCCAAGATATATTCAATATTCTTCTCCAACACCACAGCTCAAATACATCACTTCTCTTCATATCCTCCCAAGTCATTGTCCAGCTCTCTGACGCATAGCAAATAATTGCAAAGACCATGGCCTGGATCAGATGACCTTAGTCTAGAAACTGAAATCATTGCTCTTTAGCACTCTGGAGAGGTCCCTGACAGCAGATTTTCCCAATGCAATTTGTCTTTTGATTTCTCGTCGTATCAAGGGTATTGATTATGGAACAGAGTAAACTGAAATTGTTAACAATCTCAACCTCTTTTTCCATCTATCATGATGCTGCCAACTGGCCCAGTGGTAAGAATCTTCATTTTCTTATTGTTAACTTCAGTCTATATTGCAGGCTATAGTCCTTGACCTTTTGCAGGTCCTTCTCAATTTCAGCAAGCAAGGTTGAGTCATCTGCATAGCACATTTTGTTGATTAGTCTTCCTTCAGTCCTGATGTCACATTCTTTCTCAAAATGTCCATCTTCACAAATAATCTGTTCCGCATAGAGATTAAAAAGATATGGTAAATGTGTTGTCAGGAATCTCTCCAAAGAGGTGAAGAGCAATGATGTCAGTCTAAAGATGAAGGTGTGCTTGATCCGGGCTATGGTCTTTGGGGGAAAAAAAAAAGATATGAAGAAAAGACACATTCTTCTCTTGATTTTGAACCATGCAGTGTTTCCTTGCTCCATTTTGATGACTGCTTCCTCCTGGTCCAAGTATAGGTCTCTCATGAGCATGAGCACAGCCTGAGATTCCCATTCTTACGATTAGCCACAATTTGCTGTGATCAACATTGTTGTTGTT